GGAATGTTGTATGCAGTGTAAGCTTGTTTTGTGACACAGATGCTTCTAAGCAACAGGAAGAGGTGGTATCTGAAATGCTAGTTTGGATTTGGCTTATGTCTTTTCATACAAACCATTTTTGAATTTGCAGAGTCCGCACATCCCTAATTGTTACTATCCATCTCTACTTCTATAGCAACAAAGGAAGGAAAGTATCTTAGCTGCCATTTTGTGACTTCTTTTACTGCTTCCCTAAAAATAGTTTCTGGCGGTGGGGTAGGTCCTGTGAATGCATTGAGTTCACAGAGGCAGATCTTCCCCACCTTACCTTAGCGGATCTTTCCCACCTTCCCTTTTACCCCTTAAAAAAGCCACTGCTGAAAGTCTCTCTAGAATAGTGCGGCAGGAAGGAACTGCAACACAAAGGGGGATTCAGCCAAAATCACTTCCCTAAATGTTGCGTGAATGGAGCTTATTCCACAAAATCAATCCTGTTCACACAGGATTGAAGGGAGGGGCATTATTTTGGCTGAAGCTTCATCCTTGATGAAGCCCCCTCTCATGCTGCATGGCATATTGAGAAGTCCTTGCACCCCTCAGCAGCAGTAGCTTTTTGAGTGAATACTGGAGGAAGGGGGAGGTAGGAAATGACAACGTCTATTCATAGGTGTTTGGAAGACTCCATGTGTGTGTTTTAGTGGTGCTTCACTTGTAGTGTAAAAATTGATAGGCAAAAGTAAGGAGACACTTGACAAATGAAGCTGCCTTATAATGAATTGATCATTGGTCCGTCAAGTCAGAATTGTCTACTCTGACCAGCAGTGGCTCTCCAGGGTCTCAGGTGGAGGTCTTTCATATCACCTACTACCTGATCCTTTTAACTGCATCTGGGACCTTCTGCATGCTAAGCAGATGATCTGTCACTGAGTCACAGCCCCTCCCTGAAGAGAAAGAAAGAGCGAAAGAATAAAAATAGCATGCATTTGCATGCACAGTTCTCCTGTCTGATTCTATATTTATTTAAAGGAGACAAGGGCAGAAATCAGCTCACTCCTTATGTCACTGGAATTGTGATTACCTAGAATTAAATAGCCAGTCCACACACTGGAGAAGTTCTAGCATGTTACCCCTGGTATTGCTCATAATTGTAACGATCATGACTTTGGGGGAGATAATCTGAAATATGCTGCAAGTCAAAATTAGAGGATACTGTCCCAAGCAAATGCTGACATTGAAAACCAAGGGCTTTCTAAGGAAATGGATGTTGAAGCGTTATAATTTTGGCTTTTTTGATTGCCACACTGAATGATGTTATGACCTAGTTTCTTCCTTTTGCTGAAGATGGTTTGTGCCGTGTGATAGCTGAGATAGTTTCCTGCAGTAGTTTTAAAGAGTAGTTTGAAAGAGCTACTACTTTTTAAATTCCCACAAAATTGCTGTCTTGGTTACTAGTGGTTGCACCTTACAGGAATGATGGTTAGATATATTTTCCATATGTTGAATGGGGTCCTTTCAGCTGAAAGTTTCTGTAGTCCTCAACGGTCTTTGATGCTCTATGCATCACACCAATGGGATTATGCGCCTGCGCTGATCCAAATCGGTGGTATACAAAGCTCACCATGGGACTTTGATGTTCTATGCATCACACCAATGGGATTATGCGCCTGCGCTGATCCAAATCGGTGGTATACAAAGCTCACAATGGGATTTTCACGCCTCCCTCCCAGGCATGTGCGGGAACCCCACTGCGCATGCCCAAAGAGGCGGGGCATGGACATCCCGCCAGACCTTCCAACATTTTCCTTAATATTAAAAAACCTTACAGGCTTCTATTTGAATTGGGGCCACAGCAGTGTGGGAGATGTTTTGAGCTCCCAGAAGAGATCCTATTTGGGCAAACTTATTGAGAGAGCAGTGGTGATACAGCTACAGGGCTTTCTGGATGACGCTTCTGTCCTTGATCCCTTCCAGTCCAGCTTTCGCCCTGGTCATGGGACGGAGACGGTACTGGTCGCTTTGACTGACGACCTCCGTAGGCATCTGGATCGTGGCGGTGTGGCAGCGCTGTTGTTGTTAGATCTGTCGGCCGCGTTCGATATGGTCGACCACCAGTTGCTAGCCCACCGCCTCACCGACGCGGGGATTCAGGGGCTTGCCCTTCAATGGTTGGCCTCTTTTCTCCAAGGTCAGGGACAAAGGGTGGTGATAGGGGATCAGCGGTCCCGGAGGTGGCCTCTTGAATGTGGGGTATCTCAGGGGGAAGTGCTATCCCCGATGTTGTTTAACATCTACATGAGCCCCCTTGCCCAGATTGCCCGGAGTTGTGGGCTTGGGTGTCATCAATATGCAGATGACACCCAGCTTTATCTGATGTTGGGCGGCCGGTCGGACTCCACCCCAGATGACCTTCATCGGGCGTTACAGGCTGTGGCTGGTTGGCTCAGACTGAGTCGGCTGAAACTAAACCCGGCAAAGACGGAGGTCCTGGGTCTGAGTCGGATTGGTGCGGGGCTGGAGCTCCCTCTCCCGGCCTTCGACAGGGTGACTTTGGTGCCGGCGACGGAGGTTAGGAGTTTGGGTGTGCTCCTGGATTCCTCCTTAACGATGGAGGCCCAGGTAGCAGCCACTGCCAAGTCAGCCTTTTACCACCTTCGGCTGGCGCGGCAGTTGGTCCCCTTCCTCGACCATGATGACCTGGCCACAGTGATCCATGCGACACTAGATGGGAGCACCTCCGACCTGTGCTGAAAGCACTGCACTGGCTGCCTATAGCTTTCTGAGTTTGCTTCAAAGTGCTGGTACTTACCTTTAAAGCCCTATATGGCCAGGGTCCGACATACCTGAGGGACCGCCTTTCCCCACTGATACCCCAGAGAGCACTACTGTCGAGGGCTCAACATCGACTGGTGATTCCAGGCCCCAGGGAGGCCAGGCTTGTGGCAACCAGGGCCAGGGCCTTTTCAGTGGTGGCTCCTACCTGGTGGAATGAGCTCCCAGGGGAGATCAGGGCCCTGCGGGACTTTTCACAGTTCCGCAGGGCCTGCAAGACGGAGGTCTTCTGCCAGGCTTTTAATTAGGAGCCGCTGCCACCATCACCAACTGCCTCATGGGAACATGGGGCACTGGGACGGCCCATTTAAGATTGATGGCCCACTATGAGATCGAGTTACAGTATTCTGATGGAGCGGTACTGCCGATTCGGGCTTGAGTAACATCTACTGATCACCATCTTGACTTGACTTATTTGACTAAATGATTAATATTAACATCACTGACCACTTTAATTTTGATATACGTTTTAATGTTTTATATTTGGCACATGGTGCCCTTGTTTGTTAGCCGCCCTGAGCCCGTTCACGGGGAGGGCGGGATAAAAATATAATCATAAATAAAAATAAATAAATAAACCTTGCAACATTTCTTGCATTCTTAAACTGCATGACAGCTTTCTCATTTTCTTAATTTGCACGATAGCTGCTAGAATTTCAAAGAGAAAATGCAGAGCAACTTAAGGTCATGCCTTTGCTTGGCCAGTAAGACAGCCTTGCAGTTGCAGAGATACTAAACCACTTGTTTGGACATGGTGCTTAAAAGACAAAGACAGGAGATTACAGGCATCGATAGGAAATAATAGGTCCCAGCTCTGCTACTGTTTTATTATTTTGGGCTGCACATTTTGCTGAAGTAATAAGCACTCTGCTAACCAGCACTACAAAGAGATGAAAATGGGAAAAATATAAAACCCCAAATAAGGAAATGATAGAGTGATAAGATTTAAAAAATTCCAACTTATTTTCTATAGTCTTTAATAACTTCTATGTAGTTTTAAGTAGTGCTGCGGTGGCTCAAGTGGTTAAGACGCTGAACTGCAGGTTGTGGAAGGTCAGTAGTTCAGCAGTTCAAGACCCGAGTTGCCGCATGACAGAGTGAGCTCCCGTCTCTAGTTCCAGCTCCTGCCAACCTAGCAGTTCGAAAGCAAGAAATTGCAAGTAGATAAATAGGTACCACTTCGGTGGGAAGGTAACAGCGTTCTGTGCGCCTTGGTGTTTAGTCATGCCGGCCACATGACCACGGAAACGTCTTCGGACAGCACTGGCTCTTCGGCTTTGAAACGGAGATGAGCACCGCAACCCTAGAGTCGGACTCGACTGGCTTTCGAGCAAAGGAACCTTTACCTTTACCTTACAGACTTTCAGCAGGCACATCTATTTTCTGTTTCATCTATTTTTAATTTCTCTGGTGAGAATTTCTGGTTTTGAAATTCTTCTTAGTCTTAATATGTAATGAAAAATTATGGCTCATCTGTTTATGATAATAGGACAAAACAGTATTCCTGCAGATTAATCATATGGTTAGACCTCAAAAACAGTTCTTGTAAGCCTCTGCAATATTTATAATTTTTGAAGTCAAACAAAAGTCATCCTATAATTAAGAAACTCACTAGTACCAAAAAATTCTGTTATACAACTGCCAGCCAGACATTTTATAGCTTAGCCTGTCAGTGTAAGAAAACTAAAAGAGGCTAGCAAATGCTAAATGCTCCTGGCTAAAGGAGGGAAAAATAGTTTCGCTTCAGTCCATTTTGTTAGTTACTACTTCACACACTAAAGGAGTGACAGATCCACCTAAAAATGCAAGGATCTGGCAACTAGGAAGAATGATGTCAGCCTCTAGAACAGCCAACCACAATTCTAACTAGCATGGACCCTTCACAGTAATAGTTTACAACAGGAATTAAAACTGGAGGCTTACAAGGATATTGGACAAGAGCACAAGTTTAACTTGGCAATTCCTAAAATCAAATTAGTCTAGTACCTTGACAGTTACAGCATTAAACAGTAAAATCAAAATTTAAAATAGTCTCCCATCAAGTTCATTCTGTTCCTCCCTCTGACAGCCAAAACTCAGTCTATGCAAAATCTCGAATGAGTTTACTGAAGTGCATTTCAAAAGAATCCTACGCACCTGCTTGTAATTTAAGCACAGTATGTGACAAAGTGAAGACAGATGCATGGCATTACCTTCATAGCATGAATTTCTTCTAGTAACCTCTGTGCACGTTTATGATTTTTCAGTACTGCATCTTCAGTACCCCTGAATGAGAAATATGGTTAACACTATAGTAGCACATTTATTATGTTCCATTATTATGCAATGTAAAATGTTATGCTAATCATTAACAACTGAATGCCAATAGTTCCCACCCAATTTTTTCCGTCTGCCTATATATACATTTGCTGAGGACATGCTGATGCATATGAAGAAGCAAACTCTAGTTCACAAATGCCTATGTGAAAATCTATAACAACAATAATTTCTATTAGCAGTCATGCACAATAGTACTATGTGATCTTAGAGGTTGCTTTTCAAATATTGCATCTTCTATGAACTTGCTATGTAGTCTTTGGCAAGCTATTTTCTCTCAGCCTCAGCTATCTGCAACATGACTTGGTTTATAGAGATGCTCTAAGAAGACAATGTGTGCAAAATACTTAGAACAATGAAAACACTGGGTTGGATCCAGCAGTCTAATCATATAAGGTTTGTGGAACTTCTCTGCTTTCTCTTTTTTCTCCCCACAGCAGTCCCTTCTGACTCCTCTGGAAAAGCTGATTGCTGGTGTTGTGGAACCCATATGGAATAATCGCCTAATGGGTTGGGGCAGCTGGATCAAGGAGGGAAAAGGAATAAAATAGCTCCTTCCTCTCTCTCTCTCTCTCATCTATCACCACAACTCTGCCGGGAAGAGAAAATTGTATTGTCTCCTTCCTTGCCTCAATACACCCCCTGGCTCTTACAGTTATTACTTCACACAAGCCCTACTACCACAAGAATCAAGCTTTCCAGAGTCAAAAGGGTCTGCTGTGGAGAAGGAAAAATAGAGAAGATAGGCAACAGTGCCAATTCCAAAACCAAGCCATGAGTAGGGAGCTAGCATACTGCACACTTCAGCTGCTGAATCTTGCACATGTCAGTTGCTGAATCTTAAGCACAGATAAGAGAAGCTAACGTAGTTCTAGGGATAAAAAGGTTTCCTCCAGGTAAAACTTTTAAAATTAAAGTGAAGCACACCCAAATATTGCATCAGCGAGCTTCCCTGTACACACACAAAACTCACTGTTAAACAGTTTGGGAGCACTTCACTGTAGTTTAGAATTCACGCCCAACTGAAACCAAGTAAAAAGCTGTTTAGTAGGGATGTGTGTTCAGCTAAATTCGAGTCAAAAAAATATCCAGGAAATACTTTATTGGTATTTTACAGATATTACTTCAGCCAGATATCAATTTCAGATATTCTGATATGGCCGGTCCCTGAAAATCCCAAAAATATTTGAGATTTTCAGGACCGCCAGATAGTCAAATTTAAAGGGCATTTAAAGGGATCATGGTCCCTTTAAATACTTTCTCCAAGATGCACAGCTCTGCGACAAGTGAACTCTGAAGGCATTTAAAGGGCTTGCAGTCCTTTTAAACACTTTCTGGGTGAACTTACTTCTGGAGAAGTTTTTAAGGGGATTTGCAAGCCCTTTAAATGCCTTCAGAGTTCACTCACTGCAGAGGTGCGTGGTTTGGAGAAGGCATTTAAAGGGACCACAATCCCTTTTAATACTTTCCACTGCACTAGTTTTCTGAAGAAGATCCCCCCCATACTCTAGCCTATTTGCACAATAAGGATAACATGCCCATATGAGCAAATAGCAGCGTGTGGGGGGAGATTTTTACACAGTCCCAATCTAATCCAGGTACCTCAGCAACTACTATTTTTGAGAGTTAGCAAAACAGGTGATCAGATCATGGATTTACAAAATCTTTCCAAGATCAGGACATAATCAGGATGAGAAGAAACAAGCCAGTAGCCTTGGCTTTTCTTCAGGTAAACAGCTCATGGAATTTCCAATTAGTGGATAATAGGCCTACTCTCTATCCCAGATTGTGAGAGATTGACAGTGCAATCCTAAAAGCACTTCCTTGGGAGTAAGACCCATTGAATAGACAAGAGCAGGATTCTTAACAGAGCTGAGTAGGATTGATCTCTGAAGGACTCAGTGGAGTAAGCACCCCCACAAGTGCTGTAAAGTAGCCTTGCTGCTGTGATCTAAATTCAAAGTCATCTCAAAATGGATGGCAGATGTACCATCTTTTTGATATGGGGGGAGGGCTAACCCAGAAATCAGCTTTTGTGATACTGGAAAGAACCACATTTTACAATAAAATCCATAAAGAGAAGAAAGAAAATAGCTCACTTTTTTGCCTTCAGTTTTGCAATGTGTCGAGTTAGCTTGCGAATTGTTAAAACTCTGGCCTTCTTCACTTCTCTTCTCATTTTCACAACCTATTTTTACAAGGAACAAAAATACATTATTTAAGTGGCATAGTTTGAATTACATGAGCTTGAGGTACATTACATGAGCTTGAGGTACAACTAGCCTCAACGTCACAAAATTCTACATTCAGATTTCTGTTAAATATCAAAAGGCTTACACAAACAGCCAGTTGAGGAACAAACCAACAGTTTAAAAGCATGTCTGGATTCTGAACAGTAACAGGCTATGAAAAAGCCAAGACATTCCTATGTAAGCATTTTTAATGTTCTCAGAGCTAGGCAAGGCTGCACTATGAGACAGCTCCTTTTTGTTATTGGTTCACTTCTGCAGCCAATCACTTCCACAAACACACCTGTACTTTCTGCTAAACTTTTTTTTCCTCAGGAAAAGGCTTCTTTCAGTTCACAACATAAATGTTTTCAATCAAGATCCTGAAGCAAACCCTGATTCCTTCAGTAACAGGCTCTATGAAGCGTTACTTTAACATCAAAAGTCACTTTTCAGTCCTAGTCCAGAAAACAAGTAAGAGATAACATCCAAGAAGGCCCCGGTCCAAAGTTTACATCAGACAACAATTGACCGGGGGCTTTCAGGGAAGCCACTCCTCTCTCAATTATAGTTCCTCATATGTAGTATGTGCATAATACCATTGGCCTCCTTTATAGCACTGCTGTGAGGATTCACAGGAGGTATGTGAAATACCTTTAGCACTTGATATGCACTATATGAAAGCTAGTTGCTGGCTATGGGAGGTAGTTGGTATGAGGCTAAGACGGCCATATTCACTTCCCTCCCTCAGAGGCAAGATTTTCCCTCTGTTTTTAAAAAAATTGACTGAGTAATGTGTTCCCTATACCTTAGTAATGTGTTTTCTTCTTTGCTGAAGAACTCTGGCTCTCACCCTGACCTAGTACATTTTATCTGTTGCCTCAACTCAGAAACCTAAGAGAAGGATCAGGAGCCCCCCTTTAACTTAAACAACATAAATGGCATTCGAGGCGTTTTGAAATTCAAAAATAACACAATATTTTGTTTAACACCGAGGGAAAAGGTCAGGTGAAATCTGGAGTTCAAATTTCTGAGGTAAAACCAGTACATTCACAGACTTTAGTTCTTATATAGGAATGGGCATGAACCAGAAAATTCTGGTTCGGGGTGTGCAAAAAATAACCAAACTGTACAGTTTGGGCCGCCTTTCTCCTGGCCGCAGCAAGCTGCAGCCAGCAGAAGGGGGGGTCATCCAGGGGAGCGAGAGGAGGCCAATACACTACAGCTTGCATCCATTTCAGACTAACAGTGGGACTGGGGCACCTGTCAGCTGTTAGGCCGAAACAGATGCAAACAATACCAAACGATACACAGTGTAATGTTAAGAGAAACAACAAAACAAAAAACACTGTGCAAGTGACTTACAAATATTGCTGCAAACTATATTTAGTATAATGATGGTTATTTTTTATAAAATTGCAAACTATATATTATCAAGTCACCATGTAAAAAATGCCAAAAGATAAGCCGTGTAACAACACTCCATACAGAAAGCCAACCAAATTAATGTAAGTCCATATTCAAGAAGAATTCATAGATGAATGTGTCCTCCACTTCCAACTCCAGCTTCCAGCAATTCAGCCAATAGGAACTGGTGCCCAATTGCTCCTCGTTTCAGCAAAACCTTTTTCAAAGCCAAAAACTCTTCATATACACAACAATTTCTAGTAAGGCACAAAATATTTACAATTATTACCTAATAATTATAGAATGCATAAAGCCATTAAGACAATTCCATAGGATGCAGTCCTTCAATATTATAACCTCTAGCAACAATACATATTGGCATGTATCTATTTCAGCCTAACAGCTGGTGGGTGCAAGGTTATGTTGAGAGGTTTTTATTCCACTGTTTTCCAAATACTCCAGTATGCTTTTGTTGAATATTCATTGACTCTTTTAGTTTCCATAAGGTTGGTACGCTCTTTCCGGTACCCAAACTTGAGTTTTTAACTGACTCATGAAGTCTCTAAAGGCAATTTCTTAACCACACCAGACCAGGAATCTCTGCACTCTTCAGCGCTAACTCCCTGTTTGAGTGGGTAAGGAAATTCTCCTCTCACTAGAAGATCTATCCCCTTTAGTTGGCCCAATTGGGAGTCTTCACCTACTTCCCAAATTTCCTTGCCAACTTTCCCCTAGTTATCTGATTGTGTTAAACTGCTCTCAGCTAAGGCTAAAATCAGACTCAACTCAGTCGAACAGAAATCTGACTGACTCTATTCTCAGCATGAAGCTCGCAAGTCTTTCTCTGCTCAGTTGATTCTAACCAAGGAGATTGCTTGGAGCAGCCTGTCGCTCAAGCCTTTCTATTTCTGTGAACAATTAACTCTTCAGAGTCCTTCAGCTGTTTGTACAGTACTTCTAAGCTTTTAAAAATTGCCATCTGTCACAGAGGCGAATCAATGTAAAGTAAAAGCAGCATGAAGACAAAATGACTCCCATTGAATCCCACTGACGTTAATACCTATCCAGACATGGTACTGTTCTCCATAGTCAGTCTCTTACTCAACACTACTTACATATTCAGACTAATCTGTGAACATGCATTTACATGTGGGGTATATGTGTGTGTAAACTGTCTCTCATGAGATGATTTAAACAGTGGTTGAAATAGATACCAAATTCTTCATGGGATCTGTATCTATTTCAACTTTTTTAAAAAGTTCATGGGAAATAATTTACACAGTACCACAATACTGTTCTTTGCAGTCTGACCCATCATGTTTTCACACATCACTCCCCCCCCCTTGCAAAATACTAAAACTTAAAAACATCTAATTAAGTTGATAGGTAGTAGATTCAGGACAGACAAGAAGAAATACTTTCTAGTTCAACAAGTAATTAAAATGTGGAATTCACTGCCAGAGGATGTAGTGATGGACAAAGGTGCAGATGGCTTTAAAAGAGGACAGATTCATGGTGAATAGGACTATCAGTGTGGCTACTGGCCTTCATGACACATTCAGTGGCAGTACACTTCTGAGTAGCAGTGCTAGAAAGCAATATCAGAGGAAGGCCTTGGCCTTTCTACCCTGTTGGTGGCTCTCCAGAGTAACTGCTTGACCACTGTGTGAGACAGGAAGGTGGATTAGATGGACCACTGGTCTGATCCAGCAGGGTTTTTCTTACGTTTATAAATGGTGATGGTACTGAGGAAACAGGACAGAGACAATTTCTCCTCTCCTGTGACTTCTTCTGGACACACCAGCGATGCACCCTCTAAGCTGTGGAGTCTTGTGAGCAAAAATTCTACTTTGTGAGCTGCTGGCATTAAAGCTGTGAGCGAGGAATTTGGCTACTGCATCGGTTCGTTTGCTCTGGAGCCATCCCTCCTGTGCTAAGACAAAAATGTGTGAGCCGGGGGCTAGAAAACTGTGAGCTAGCTCACACTAACTCAGCTTAGAGGGAACACTGGTTTTTAGACATTCCCAGCTTTGCAAGTTGTGATCCGATTGGTCAATGTGACCCTTCGCAGGTACTACTTCATTATCTGAATATGTTGGATATTTTGAGACTGTTTGGATAAGGGAGGTTTTGCCCTGTAACAAATAGCAAATTGCAGCAGGAAAAGACAGAAAAGAGCAAAAGTCCGGGAACACCTTAAAGACGAACAACGTTTGTGGCAGGGTACTAGCTTTCGTGAGACACTGCTCGCTGAAGCAGTGCTCACTGACTCATGAAAGCGCATCCCTTGCTACAAATTTTGTTTGTTATTCAGGTGCTCCTGGACTCTTACTCTGATCCCTACCCCTGACCCGCTCTGACTCAGGCACAGGACCTCCGTCTTCGTTGGATTCAATTTCAATCGGCTCAGTCTAAGCCAGCCCACCACGTCCTGAAGTGCCTGCTCCAGGTCATCTAGGGTAGAGTCGGACTGACCGCCCAACAACAGGTCTAGCTGGGTGTCATCTGCGTATTGATGATACCCTAGCCTATGCCTCTGAGCAATCTGGGCAAGGGGGCACATGTAGATGTTAAATAGCATCGGGGATAACACCACCCCTTGAGGAACCCTGCACACCAGCAGGTACCTCTGGGACGTCTGTTCCCCTAATGCCACCCTCTGTCCCTGACCTTGGAGAAAGGAGACAAGCCATTGCAAGGCAAGCCCCTGGATCCCAGTGTCGGCGACGCGATGGATCAGTAACTGACGATCAACCGTGCCGAACGCCGCTGACAGGTCCAACAACAACAGTACCGCCATGCCGCCTCGATCCAGATGCCTCCGGAGGTCATCTGTGAGGGCAACCAGTGCCGTCTCCCTCCCATGGCCTGCCCAAAAGCCGCACTGGAACAGGTCTAGCATGGAAGTTTGCTCTGGAGTTGTCCTTTCTGAGCTAAGACAAGTATGTGTGAGCTGGAGGCTAAAAAACTGTGAGCTAGCTCACACTCAGCTTAGAGGGAACAATGCACACCAGGTTTAAATTCATGTTGGGAATCCTGATTCATAGGGAACAAAAAAAAATATAGGAGTTCATATATAACAAACTACGGTTTTCCATAGCACCACCACAAGAACATAAATCACCATGTGAGGAAGAAAGAAGCATGAAGAATTCTGACTGATGAAAAGGGGGGAGGGGTGATGAAGCATGAGAACCCAAAAATTCCTCATGTTGCTTTACATAATGACAAACCACACTTTGCCAGGATAACTGAAGTGTCAGAATTTCCATGGCAGAAATAGCTGCACCCCCTAAACCTCTGCTTATCATTCTGCAATTAAAAGGCCTCAGGTGGGGGAGGTGAATATGGGAATGCTACATTAAACTGAAGAGAAAAAAATGAATCAGCCTTATTCCAGGGATGCTTGAGTTGATGTGAACAAAAAGCTCAGAAGGTATAATAAAAAAGAAACGCAGGCATATGCAAAGCCCACAATTTAGGGAATCACAACAGATCATTATATAGTCAAGCATATATATTTAGCTTCTTATCCAATATTTAATTTATTTTT